GTTTCTGTGAGACTCAACTGGGCACCTGCTGTACCCAATGGGTCTGAGAGAGGAGACAATGGTACAAGAAGATCCACTGACTTCCTTAGAAGTTTTTGTACTTCCTGGAGAGAGAAAACCTACTTCCTATGCCTAGTGGCACGTCATACTGACTAAACACCAACCAGAACATTCCCATATTACTTAATGTGGCTTATCTTGAAATAATAGCTTCTGCCGTTTATTAAATACAGTTACTGTCTTAGCTTGTTTGATCTTCCTGGCAACGCTGTGAGGTGTGATCACCAACCACCATTTTACCTGAGGACTCTAAGGCTCAAAGAGTTCAAGGGAGTTGCCCAGAGTAACCCAGAAAGTAAGTGAGAGAGGTGGGATTGAATCTGGGTCTGTTTGCCACCAGCCTTGTAAGTCCCCAAAGTCTTTTTTAAGTTTCTATTTTTCTTCTCAAGATACTGAGGACAGGTATCTGGATGGGTGTTGTCAGGGGCAGGTGGGAGGTGGGTGAGATTTCCATCAATGACAGATCTAAAAATAGCTAGGATGAGCTGGGTGATTGTAATGGAACCTTTTGATATAGCATTTTGGTATCATGATTTGGGGGCTGAAATTTAAACATGAGGAAGGTCATGAATTCTACGACTTTTTTATTTTGGCCAGCAGACACATTCTAAATCATGGGTATTTTTCAGAATCAGGGAAAGGCTGCCTTCATGCTGTGTCCTCACACGGCCTTTCCTCTGTGTGTGCAGGGGAAGAGACTGCTCTGGTGTCTCTTCTTGTAAGAACACTAGCCCTATCAAATTAGGACTCCACCCCCACACCCTCCTTTAACCCTAATAACCTACCTAAAGGCCATATTTTCAATTAAAGTTACATTGGGCATTAGGACATCAACATATGAATTTCAGGGGGGCAGGGCACAGTTCAGTCCATAATAGAGGGCAAAAAGATTTGAGAAGGAAAAGTCCAAAATATTCACAGTGGTAATATCTGAAGAATTCAGTCTTGGATGGATGGTTATTATTTCCTTCTTTATACAAGTGTTTGTGTGTACTCTATTCTTGTATTTTCTAATTTTCCTCAGTGAGCATTTGTTACTTTAGAAGTGGAAAAGCTGCTTTAAATAGTTTCTGAAGCAGCAACACTCCATCTCCCTGGTGTAGCCTTTTCCTGGCACATATTTCCCCAGGGCTCTGCTGCTCTGGCAATGACTTCTTCTTTTCATCGTGAACTCCCTCAGCACCCCTTTTCTCAATCCTCCCAGCCCCAGAATCTCCAAACCCAGGTAACGCTCCCCATGTAAGTAAGTACATGAGTGTGAGAAGAGCTTTATTCTTCTAGACACGGCTGGTCCCTTGGAAAATGTGGTTCCATTCCTAGTTCTTATGGCCTCTCAGCTGTGGGAATGAAGGCCAGTAGTCTCATCCTTGAACTTCAAATCGCTAACCCACCTCATTCTCACAGGTACATACAGTTATTCCATGTTCTAATAAGAAGTCCAGGAGTTGCCTTTGACCCCTTTTCCTTCACTTTCAGCATCAGGTCAGTCTGGAAATGTACAACTGATAGTTGTAACTCTTTTTCTTCTCTTCCTCATCATTTCTTAGCCTACAACAGGAACGTCTATCTGGTCTTCTTTTCTCTACAACACTACTCCAGAATTCTAGTCTGTGTGGATCCTCCTTAAAACTCAGCACTGGTCCCCATAACCTACTGAAGAAACCTTAAGCTCCCTGGCATGGCCTCTGTCTACATTTCTTTGTTCCCTTACAGCTCCTTCTCTATATCTTAGCCATACTAAACCACTTGCAGTTCCCAAACAGGATTCTCACTGTACCAGTTGTTCTTGCAAATGATAGGAGCACTCTTGCCATTCTCCAACACTAGCTTAACAAGACAAAAAAGGTATTTCTCATGTAAAAGAAATCCAGAGGGAGACATTCCAAAGTTGGTATGGTGTCCCACAGTGTCAGTGTTCCACAGTGTCAGAATCTAGATTCCTTCTACTTTGTGGGTTTTTTATTCTCAGCAGATGACTTCCTCGTTATGGTCCAAGATGACTGCTCAAGCTCCAGTCATCACATCCACATTTCAGCCAGAAGGAAAGAGTAAGGAAAAATGAAGGGCATGACTGTGCCTCTAAGGACACTTTTTGAAAGTCATACTTGCTTATATACCTTTGGCTAAGATTAGTTACACAGTTGTATTTATCTGCAAGAGAGACTGTGAAATTTTTATTTCAGGTAGTTTACTTTAGGAAGCCATGTACTAGGTAAAAATAAGGGATGTTTTGTGATTAAGGAAGAAAAAGAGAATGGATATTGGGTGACACCTAGCAGTCTTCCCCCCACGCTCTCACATCCAGGCATTTGCACTTGTTCCTTTTGTCTGGGACATCATCAGCCCTCCCCTTGCCTCCCCTTCACCCTCCCCCCACCTCTTCCATTACAATTTCCTGGCTTGGTATGTCCTTATCTGTCCCTTAACACTCACTCATCCTATGGCCATCCTTACGCTGCCTCTACAGTTGTGCCATCACAGTGTATTTAGTCCACCTTCCCCACTAGCCTGTGACCTTCTGGAGGTCAGGGACTGTGTCATCTCTGGATTTAAACCCAGAACAACTACACAATCTCTGGCCAAAGTGGGCTCACTACCAATATTTCGCATCTCAAAAATATACTGAGGAAAGAGAATATATTCTTCAGGCTTCCAGGAACTTCCTAAATCTGTAGGAAGTTTTGGAATGGGGGTAGCTCAGTGATCTTAGAGGCCTGTGGTCAGTTGCTGTTCTTTGGGTTACACACAGACCACCTCCCTTCTCATAGTTGTTTTCAGATACTGCAGTAACACTGATTAGGTCTCAGCCTTGATTATGGAGATTGAGGTTGGGAGAGATTATTGTGACTCTTGCTTTAATTTTCAGTCAATTCTTGATTTGATTTCTGCCATTTGTTCTTGTCAGTTTTCACCTGGGCAGCATCATCTCCCATCTGCTTTTTAAGGTGGATGTCTGTCAGGTTATCTCATACATCACTTTTGGTTTTATTAAGAGGGATATGACTTTCTTTACTGCTAAGACTTTGGGGCTAGCGTTCTGTCTTTCCCATTCACTCATGTTCTCCATTTGATCTCAGGACAGCTTCTGTTTGAGAGAGAAAAGCAAGTGTGTTGTTCCCATTTCATAGATAAGACAATGAGAGCCTCATGAGATTACCCAACTTGCTTATGGTCACAAGTGGTAAAACCAGGAGTTGAACCTGGATCTCTTTGTATCCAAGGCCAATATATATTTCCTTCTGCTACCACACTTTTCTTATTTTGATTAATAATTGAATTAACATTTACATGCATAATCCCCCCCAAATTTGAATGTTTTGTTATGATAACTTCCCAAATCTGGAATTATTGAGTCAAAAAATACAAATATATAAATATGCTTTTTTTTTTGAGTTGGAGTCTCACTCTTGCCCAGACTGGAATGCAGTGGCCGCTCCTGGCCACCGCAGCCTCGACCTGCTGGGCTCTGGCCATCCTTCTGCCTCAGCCTTCCAAGTAGCTGGAACTACAGGCGTGTGCTACCATGCTTGGCTAATTTTTTGATTTATTGTAGAGATGAGGTCTCGCCAAGTTGCCCAGGCGGGTCTCGAACCCACGAGGCTCAGGCAATCCACTCACCTTGGCCTCCCAAAGCGCTGGGATTACAGGCTGAGCCACCGAGCCTGGGTCCTATAAATATGTTTTTTTTTTTTTTAATGACTCAATGCATTTTGTAAAATCGTTCAAGCAGGGTTGTCACACTCATGTTTGAGCCAGACAGGTGTAACTACCCATGTGCAGGCCAGCAAAGGAGTCAATGTGGGGGAAGAGGCTGTGACTGTTCCTCCCCAGCAGGCACACATGAACATCTCACCAACCAGGTGAGAGTCTTCTGTTGGAAGATGCATATGTTTGTATTCACTATGACCTTCCACACAGACTTCATTTGGCACTCATCCACAGCGATCTATGTCAATGCTGCAGAAACTATTGGCTACACTGACCTTTGCGAGAGATGATATATTAGTTTCCGTCGTGATGTGTACATACTGTGTACTGGACCTTGTAAATGATTGAAAAGATTTCCAGGCCAGGCTCGGTGGCTCAGCCTGTAATCCCAGCGCTTTGGGAGGCCGAAGTGAGTGGATTGCCTGAGCCCGCGGGTTCGAGACCTGCCTGGGCAACTTGGCGAGACCTCATCTCTACAATAAATCAAAAATTAGCCAGGCATGGTAGCGCGCACCTGTATTTCCAGCTACTTGGAAGGCTGAGGTGGAAGGATCACCAGAGCCCAGCTGGTCAAGGCTGTGGTGGCCGGGAGTGGCTACTGCACTCCAGTCTGGGCAACAGAGTGAGACTCCAACTCAAAAAAAAAAAAAAAAAAAAGAAAAGATTTCCAGAGATAATTTTGGTTATATGAGATAAAAGAGACTCTAGTCTAAAACCCCATCTATCTGACCTCCACACAAGGTATGACTCCAAGGAATTAGGATGCCGTGCTGTTTTCACTGTACCTTTGCCCCAATAATCTCAAAGCCTACCACACACACACCCCAATAATCTCAAAGCCTACCACACCCGGGCGTGGTAGCGCGCCTGTAGTTCCAGCTACTGGAAGACTGAGGCGGAAGGATTGCCGGAGCCCAGCAGGTTGAGACTGTGGTGGCCAGGAGTGGCCACTGCACTCTAGTCTGGGTGACAGAGTGAGACTCCAACTCAAAAAAAAAAAAAAAACCTCAAAGCCTGAGGGGTACCCTTTCTGCTTTATGGCATATGGTTTGTGATAAATGTGCTTTCAGGTGAACATAGTGCAGGCTGCCATCTTTGCCTTCTTCTCGCTGAAGTTAATTTAGAAGCCTCACAGGGGGCTGTGGGGCCTTAGGTGATCTGTTAGGTATTACTGTGTGCCAAACATTTGCATGTAAATGTCCAAGTGACAGCTTGTCTCTTTCCTTCCGCAGTTGATCACCACAGAAAAACGCTTCCTCAAAGACAGTTTGTACAATGAAGGAATCCTGATTGTGTGGGACCCAGCTGTCTACCATTCAGATATTCCAAAGGTAAGTGGGTGTCCATGGGAAATGAGAGCTGAGTTTCCTGTTTGCCTGCAGATTTTCCTGAGTTCCTAGGTTTCTAAAGTTGTGGCTGAGCTGGGCCATCCCCGGGGCTGGCTTTGTGAGTTTAGGGCACCCTCCGTCATCTGGACTAGCAGATTCAGAAGTGCTCCTGTCCCTGTGCTCTGCCCTGCATTGCCAAGTATTTGTCTCTCAATTATGGTAGTACTGGGAGTAATAGTGGCTGGATTTCTCCCCATCTGGGGTAGATCATGCTCATGAATGCAATTATTTCTGCAGAAGTTGAGAGTGATTACTATTATAAATAATATCATGACACTTTTGTTCTGCACTTCCAATTTCCAGAATTCTCATTTCGCTCTCATACCAATATAAGGAAGTAAATGGTGGCATGGTTGCTCCTGCCTCACATGATGAGGAAATTGGAAAGTGGAGTGTCCCTTTTCAAGACTTGATTTACTAAGCAGAAGATGCAGATTGCAACACCAGCTCTTTCAGTGGCAGGCCTGCTGGCTTCTAGCCTCTCTGGAATAGTCCACTCACTGTTATGCATGTCAGTTGGCCTCTCCCTAACATGGGCTGCAAGGGCCTCAAGAAAATGACTTTAAGAAAGAGGGGTAGAGAGCACTATTCCTGGGACATTAATTCTTCATTGAATCTACCAATAGGTGTCGGGCTCTGGTGATCCCTGGCCCCCTCACCTCCTCAGTTTCCTCAGTTTTGCACTGATCTCACTTAGAGCTCAAATTTGCCTGGGTCAGAAGAAGGACTCTGAGTCCACAGGTGTGGCAACCTGTGCCTTATCTGCTTTAAAAATGAGAGATGGACTTTGATGGTGCCTGGGACCCCCTTCAGCCTTGGTACAATTTCCAGACTCTGTGATCCTGAAGTCTAATGCTGCTCCAAGGTCACCAAGTTCAACTTAAAGCTCCCCATAAGTATGAGCTACATGCTAGGCCCCACCCTGCTCTCCAGTGAGAGCCAGGATCTGGAGGAAAGACCTGGAATCTGCTCTGAGGCAAGGGCTGTGCCTCAGGACCCTACGTTAATCCCTTTCCCTCCCCAAGTCCTCTGATGAGGATGATCCCTTGGGGGAATACTGGCACTGGCCCATTTGTACCTTGAAAAAGACCACTTCCTTTTTTTTCAGTGGTACCAGAATCCGGACTATAATTTCTTTAATAACTACAAGAGCTACCGCAAGCTGAACCCCAGTCAGCCCTTTTACATCCTCAAACCCCAAATGCCTTGGGAACTGTGGGATATACTTCAAGAAATCGCCCCAGAATCGATTCAGCCAAACCCCCCATCCTCTGGGATGCTCGGTGAGTCTGTGTCTGGGAAAAGATCTTGTCTGTTTGTTTCTAGAAGAGATTAGCTTTCTTCTGGTGTCTCATTCTGTCATTCGTTGTTCACCAAACAATTGCTAGGATTCTGCTCTGCTTGTAAACTGTGTCAAGTTCTATTTAAAAGACAAAGATAAATAAGATACAATTTTTTCCTTTAGGGTGTCTAATGGGGAAGTTCAGTCAGGTGTCTGAGATGATGTATAATTTGTACCAGGAGGGAGAGACCATCTGGTGTCACAGGAGTGAGGTCTTCTTCTATGTGGACAGTCAGAGAGAGCTACATGGAGGAAGTGGCATTCGCTAGGCCTTGGAGTGGGGATGATTTGACAGGTGGAGAGAGTGAAGGAAACGCACAAACAAGAGGGACAGGCAGCAAAACATAAGCAGGTCTGGGCCTCAGCAATACACTTGTCTCAAATGCACAACCTGAACATTCGAAAATCAAGATAAATAATATTTTAATAGAATATCTTTAAAAATCACAATGAATCCAAAAATTATGATAAACAAAATATCAAGTATTTGCATAAAGACAGAATGAGTAACAGCACTGTGCAGAGTTATACTGGAACTCGAGCAGAGGAAATATCCATAATGCCACTCTTATCTCTATCTGTTCACCCTAGTGACTCCTGACTGGATATGGGGGCATGTACAGAGCTGTGGGAGCTGATCAGGGGCTGGGGTCAGAGTATGGAAAGTCCTGAATGCTGGCCAGAGATTTTCTTGGACTTTCTTCACACCTCATAGTCTGTGTTGGACAGGACCAATGGGCAATTTCCGTGGGGCTCCAGGATCTGTATGTGCATATAGACTCCCCTCTGCTAGGAGACTCCTTTCCTACAGGATGGCTCTTTTGAATGAAACTCTTCAAGTTTCTCTATTAACTTAGCTGGTAGCTACTGTCCTCTGAATCTACCAGAGGCCCAAACAGAAGAACACCAGCAGGCGGTTCACCTGCATGGGTCCCTGTGGGGTGACCTTGCTGTCAATGGTCAGATTGCAGGCATGGCTCCAATAACACAACCACAATGTGAGAGCATAAGAGGTTTTTATTATTCACAAATCTTCAAGCTAGGCAGGGTGAGCAGAGTGGGGTACACAGCAGTTCTCCATCCTGGGTCTCTTGTAACAACAGCAGTATAGGGATGTAGGAGAAAACTTTCACTATTTAAGTGTCCCCTGGGATGAGGTGTCCTAAGTTCATCTAGTTATTTTCTATTATGTGCTTCAAACAACTGTGGTGCCAAGGGCGGTTGAGCAGGTTAGTGTGAAACTAGGGTTAAAACAGTGCTCTGAGGAGGGACATCTTGTCTATCTGTTTTGTTTTGTTTTTTTTTTGAGTTGGAGTCTCACTCTGTCACCCAGACTGGAGTGCAGTGGCCACTCCCGGCCACCGCAGCCTCGACCTGCTGGGCTCTGGCGATCCTTCCACCTCAGCCTTCTGAGTAGCCGGAATTACAGGCATGTACTACCACGCCCGGCTGATTTTTTGATTTATTGTAGAGATGAGGTCTCGCTGCCCGGGCAGGTCTCGAACCCGCGGGCTCAGGCAATCCACTCACCTCAGCCTCCTAAAGGCGCGAGATTACAGGCTGAGCCACTGAGCCCAGCTGTCTTGTCTATCTTGATCAGCCTTGGCCAGTTCTACACAGCAATCAACTGTAGTTTCTCCATTGCTCTAGACAATGGCCCCAGCCACTCAATATTGTGTAATGTGTCTGCCTACTTCCCCTGCTAGACTGCAAACTCCTTCCGGGTGGGGACTATGTTTGTCTTGCCTGGTGACTCAGCCATTTGGGAGCAAGTGTAGTGGTAGCATAAGTCTTCTCCTGCCTCTTAGTTGAGCAAGAGTCTCCCTAAAGAACACCACCCTGGGCCACAGTCTCCCTGCCTGAATGAGCAGAGTCTATCACTACAGACCATAAAGGAAGAGGTCCCAGCTAAGGGAAAAAGTCTTCCCTTCCTCACACTGCTCCCTGAACGTGGTATAAGGTATAACCTTCCCTCAAATTGCACTGTCCAAGAGGCTCTCCAGGATATAAAAGGGTCAGTAGGATATAAAAGTGCTAGAAAGTGCTAACTCCACTTGTTGGCATTATCTCCTCAATTGGCTCAGTAGTCTTGTCCTCTTTCTTCATATAGCTTATTCTGCTGATGCAGTCGTTGGCTCATTGATCAAGTCCTTTAATCTGCTAGTGTTTAGGGAGGACTGGTTCCCTGGCCTAGGTGCTGGGGATACAAAATGCGTACGGCTCAAACAGACTTGCACCCTAAGGGGCATGCTGCTGGACTTAGCTTGCCAGAAGAATTCAGATTGGGAATCACAGTAATTAACAGAAACTCCAGATGGACTCCTCTCTAAATTCGGGGTGATGGGCTGCTGGACCACTCACTAGACAGAGCTCTGGATTTCCTGGGTGGGTTGTTGGACATCACTCACCTCTGCTCCCCTCTGCAGGTATCATTATCATGATGACGCTGTGTGACCGGGTGGATATTTATGAGTTCCTCCCATCCAAGCGCAAGACTGATGTGTGCTACTACTACCAGAAGTTTTTTGACAGCGCCTGCACAATGGGTGCCTACCACCCACTGCTCTATGAGAAGAATTTGGTGAAGTACCTCAATGAGGGCACAGATGAGGACATTTACCTGCTTGGAAAAGTTACATTACCTGGCTTCCGGACCATTCGCTGCTGAGCACAGGCCCTGGCCAGCCCCCTCACTCTTCTCCATCAGGCGTTTTATGGCTAGTCTCTTGGCCACCCCAGCCTGGGAAGACCACTTTCCTGAACTATCTCAGTCTGCTCCTTGCACTCCAGGGGTCTCTGTCAGCAAGAGCTCTTGGGCTTCAGGAGTCAGGGAAAGGAACCAGGCCCAGCCTTCCTATAGCCACAGAGACTATATTAGCCTAGAGCCTCCCGTCACACATGTGCACATACCCCTAGCATTCTTTCCAGACAGCATCCTCCCTACTTTCCACACAGGTGATGCAAGATCTACCTTTCCCGCCAGGGATGCCAAGGCTGGGCTTTGTTTTTCTCAACTGAGTGGTGTCATTCTCACAAACCAACACTTGGTATTGCTTGAAATCTGCACCTGCACTTCTCGGTATCTAGGTGTCGTGTTTTAAAGAAACTTTCCCAAATCATTACTGTGCCCAAAGCAAGGTGGCTCTGGGGGGCAGGTAAGCGGTATAGAGCATTGGAAACATGCTCGACTCCTCCAGAGCAAAGTCGCTCCTGAGGCCCACGCCCTGGAACACGTTCCTACTACTCTGGCTGGTTGGGTTAGTTCTTAGCCTGGGCGCTCATGGGCAAAGGGTCCTGATTAACCCACCTTTCCTCTGCATGTGGAGATGAAAGGTACAGAAGAGTACACTCTGTGTCCTCAAGTTGCTCACTGTTCAGTGGGAGAGACAGACATCTAAACAGGCAGTTAGAGTTCAGTGTACTCCATGTACCAGGGGCTTATAGAAAGATGGGCTTACTGTCTGTGTACTTCCTGTGGGTAAGAGATGGCTTCATAGTGCTGGGGGTATTGGAGTGGGTCTTAGAGGAAGAGGAGAAACATGGCAAACAGATTTTGTGTGAGTCACTTGAATTGTGCTTTTCTCCTATATACTTTCTAAGACCTACCTGAACTTGGAGACTCAATCTCTTTTTTGAGGAATCCCCTCACCTGTGTCTGAGATAGTGAGTGCAGCCTTACAGCAGACATCAGGCAAGTCAGATCCCAAAAGCCTGGTTCCTCCAAGCTCAGTGAGCCTGACCCTATTCTACCAGCTGAGTTTGCACACTGTACTCCAACTTTCTTTTTAATGCCTACCCCAAATCCTCTCCTAACCACCACCTTCCCCTGCCTTTAAAAGTAGTCTTGCCCTCCCAAATTAATTTTAAGCCTTTTCTGCTTTCAAAATATCCTAACCCCAATTTGTTTGACCTCATGGGCCTTCTGCAAGAGGTCTCTCAGGGAGTGAGGGACATGGTTTTCTAGGACTTATATCACTCTCAGAGTTCAGAACTTTGGAGATTATAACATTCTTACCAGGTGTGAGGTATATGAAATCAGATTGCTATGCCCTCCACCCCTTCCCTACAATGGAGCAATATCAGTATCTCTGACCAGAGACTGGACCACTATGGTTTACAAACATGCTCACCAGATGGTTTTGCTAAGTCCCCTCCCTTTGGTAGGGAACCCAACTGGACCGGTCCACTTCCTGATGTGAGAGGTGAAATGGCTTGCTCAGGATCACAAAGTCATGCTGTATAGCCAGAGAACCTAAATCCAGGCCTCTGGAATCTCAAGGCTGGCCCTACATGCTTAAGGGAATCTCATGTTTGAGCTCCAGACCAACCCTCTTGGAGCTAGGGTACTCATTCACTGTCAAACCCTTGGCTTATACAAGAAGTAGAAAGACCCCTGGACTAAGAAGACCTGGGTTTTCAAATGGATGCTCCCCTACTTACTAGCTATGTCACTTTGGGCAAATTTTCTTTCCTGAGCCTTTGTTTCCACATCTGTAAAGTGGGAATGATGATCCTACCTCACAGGACTGTTGTGAGGGTTACATGAAAGTACCTGTCCTGGCTTTGTACCTGGCACATAGTAGGTGCTCAGTACATGCTAGTTTCCTTTATTCAGAACCTGTTCTGTGCTCACACATGGGCTGGACCCTGCTGTGAGGGAGGATAGGAGGGAGGAGGTCCTGTCCTCAGGGAATTAACTGTCCTATTGAGAGACAACAACTATCCCCCCTTGGAACACCCAAGAAACCATCTGAGGCAGTGGACAATGCAGAGCCTTTCCCTCCTCCTCACTGCCTGCAGCTCAGATCTGATTCTGTTTGGGAAGGGATGGAGTACTTGGGCTGCTGAACTACTGTATGGGGCGAGTCCTTTACCCTTCTCTGGGCCCATGAATTCCTGGCTTGCTTTATGTTCTGATTTGACACACTCATTGTAATCTTTGAATCATGACCACTGAGTGTGGAGGAAGGTGGCATTCTGACAGCAGGAGATAGACACATGTTGGTGTGGAGACTGAGCCTACACTGGATAGAATCTAGTTTTTAATTGTGATTTTTAATATAAGGGATCAAATTATTTTAAATATGATTCTGAAGTCTATGGAACTTTTCTTTCTGTGCTGTCTCTATGTGGAAGCTTCGGTAAAATGCCAGTAAGATATGGGTATTCTGTTGGTCCGGTGAACCGTTTAATATTTGGGACAGATAATTGAAAAATTTTGACTTAATGCTGCCTCTGTCTGTGGGGTTCTGTCTTCTTCAATAACCATCTATTCATCCTGGATCATGGGGCCCTCTCTAGTCCTTCCGCCAATCAAATAAAATATTGCTATTGGTTTAGAGTTGAGACTTCCGTTTCAGAAGCATCTGAAACATGCCTAAGCTAATTCTGAATTACCCAAAGATTATGTAAAAATTTAAAATAAATGTGTTTTTTAAAAAACTGCTTCCTTTCTTCTTACTTGCTAAGGGAATGGCTGCTGATTGCCAACTCTTATCTCCAAAGAGGACAGAAGCAAGATCCTGAGTCCCCTGTCCTCCCCCACTAGCCTCTCTGGCTTTAAACTTCTTCTTCAGTTACTCAAGGTAAAGGAATGTGTACTTAATTGGAAGAATTGCCTTTTTGAAATACTGACTAGTTTATTGATTTTTTTCCCCTCCCTTTTGCTCTTGCCTGGATTCGAATAACTGAGCTGTTGCTAAAAGAAGTGATGCAATAGGGCAGAAAGCAGACTGGAGGGCAGGTCCTTGCCTTGGTTTCCAAAACCCTAAATTATTTAAAGGAATGATATCCCTCCAGAATAGCCAAAATGTTTGGATAAAAATCCTAAGGAAAAGCAAGAGTTTGCAGAGAGAAAATAATTCCTTTTCCCTATGGACTGCTCTCCCCTTTGTTATGGATTGAATTGTGTCCCCCCCAAAAAAAATTCAGAGGTTCAAGTCCTACCCTCTAGTACCTCAGGATGTGACCTCATTTGGAAATTGGACCATTGCAGATGTAATCAGTTAAGATGAGGTCATACTGGAGTAGGGTGGGCCTCTAATCCAACACGACTGGTATCCTTACAGAAAGGGGGAGTTCGAGATAGACCTGAATGTAGGGAAAACACCATGTAAAGATAAAAGTTGAGATCAAGGTGCTACTTCTACAAGCCAGGTAATGTCAAAGACTGCAGGCAAACCACTAGGAGCCAAAAGAAAGGCGTTGAATGGATTCTCTCTCATAGCCCTCAGAGGCAACCAACCCTGCCCACACCTTGATCTCAGAGATCTGGCTTCCAGAACAGGGAGAGAATACATTTCTGTTGTTTAAGCCACTCAGTTGGAGGTATTTTGCAGTTTGCAGCCCTTGCAAATTAACTTAATACCTTTCCCACTCCCTACCCCCTTCCTAACTCCCCAGGTACAACGGAGTCCCCTGGGCTAGGACCGGAGAGAACAGTGAAGGGTGCATTGCGCATTGCTATCTAGAGCATGGGTAGTTAGCCCGGTTCTCTGCTTCCCAGCCAAGGCTCTGGGGAAATTGCAAGTCCTTAGATGGTGCAGCTTCATGGGGCCTATAGTCCAGGCAGATGCAAACTTGGGTGGCCTGCTTCCTGATGGATCATGAATGAGAGATGCCTGAGTAGTGCTGAGTGACCAGAGAACACCAAAGCCTGCATCTCTGACCCTGCACCCTATGTCTTAGCATTGTAAGCTCCCTAGGATTCAAATGTTTCTCCACATGGACTGTGACTGAGATTCTGTTTGGGTCCAAGGAGAATGGGAGATCAAAATAGAAGTCACAAAAAAATAGATGGCAGTTAATTTGGGAACTGAGATTTTGTGCTTGCCACATTTACAGTGGTCATAAATCTCCACAAGGTCCTTCCTGCTGGTGAGCCAGGTGCGCCGGGTCCCTCTGTCCAGGCCTGGAGGTGTGCTCCACAGCTTCTCCGGCCACTTTCCCTTGACTCCCACTCCAATTGGTTCCTGTTTCTTTTTTAAAAGTGAAATTTGTCAGGAATTAAAAGTACTTCCTGTTACTAAATGTATTTTCTACTACTTCCTCTACACAGTCTTTGAAGGTGGAACAACAAAGCCAAAAGACTCCAGGAATTTTCTGTTCAGGCAGTTTAAACTGGGAAATTAGTGTTGGAGGTATGCCTGTTTTTGGCTAGTAACTGGCCACTTTCTCGCTGTGCCTTCACATGCTCTTTCCTTTGTGCGTGTGCATCTCTGGTGTCTCTGTGTCCACATTTTGTCTTTCTTATAAGGACATCAGCCAGATTGGGTTAGGGCTCACCCTAATGGCCTCATTTTAACTTAATCATCTCTTTAAGGGTCCTACCTCCAAATAGTCACATTCTAAGGTACTAGGGGTTAGGACTTCATCATATGAATTCTGAGAGGACACAATTCAGCCAATAACAAGCAATAAGTACTTTCTTTACACAGTTGCTATGAGTCAGAAATTCAGGAGTCATTTAGGTGGGTACTTATGCAAATTGCAGTCAAGATGCCAGTCAGGGCTTTTATCATCATCAGAGCTGTGTAAAGCATATATCCTATATTTCATTCTACCTTAAAGTTTTGTTACTATAATTTTACAAAAGCACTTTAGCCTATATTTTACCCCCAAAAGAGTCAGAAAGGTAATGGTATCTTGTGTGTATGTGTATATATCTATCTGTGTGTGTGTGTGTGTGTGTGTGTGTGTGTGTGTGTGTGTGTGTGTGTGGTCTGACGGGTTTGCGAACTCATCCTAGAAAATGCTACATGGCTCATTGCTGACTATCACTACGGTCACCTTTGAAGTATTCCCCTTGGGAAGATATGCACTGATTCCAGCACCTAGTCCAACCATCAAAGCAGTTTTGGAACTGTTTTTCTGGAATGGCCATCAGAGCTGTCAACGTGAGAATGTTGGAGTTTGACTTAGAGCAACAAACAAACATTAAATTTCTTCTTAAACTTGGCAAAAGTAGAAGTAAAATCAGGGACATGTTAGTTAAAGTTTATCTGGATAATGCCATGAAGGAAACAGCAATGTACAAATGGATTAAATGTTTTTCTGAGGGGAGAGAAAGTACTATTGATAAAAAGCATTTAGGACAGTCAATAATGAACAGAACTGACAAAAACATAGCAAAAATTCATTGAATTGTGCATCAAAATTATCAGCTGATTGTGAGAAGCATAGTAGACCAAATAAACATCAATAGATAAACAGTTAGAAAAATCTTAACTGAAAATCTTGGCATGAGAAAGTTGTGTGCAAAAATGGTCCCAAAGGAGTTCTTGCACTATGACAATGCACTAGCTCACACAACACTATCTGTGAGGGAAGTTTTAGCCAGTAAACAAATAACTGTATTGAAAAACCCTCCCCACTCATTTGATCTGGCTCCCAGTGACTTTTTTCTTTACCTGAAAATAAAGGAAATATTGAAAGGAAAACATTTTGATGACATTCAGGACATCAAGGGTCATATGATGACAGCTCTGATAGACATTCCAGAAAAAGAGTTCCAAAATTGCTTTGATGGATGGACCAGGTGCTGGCATTGGTGCATAGTTTCCAAGGGGAGTACTCCAAAGGTGACGACAGTGATATTCAGCAATGAAGCACTTTTTCTAGGATGAGTTCATGAACTTAATTGTCTGACCTTATGTGACTAGAAGTTTGACACACTTTAATTTTCTATTATCCATCCTCAGTTTTTTTCTGTTGGTGAGCCAGGTGCACTGGGTCCCTCTGTCTATTAATATTAGGATTTTTTATTCAGAATATTATTGTTCTTTGCAAAATAAATTTTGATATTAACATTCAGCTTTATACCCATAGTTACAATGTATTTTAAAGCACATATCTATTTTCAATTAATTACTCAGCAGCAA